AATTTGTCATTCTAGATTGTGAAATATTTATTTCTAATGACAAATCAATGAAATTTTGTCTTGAAGCATGGTGTAGCATGGGCAACAGTCTTCATGGGAAATATGTTTCCCTATGGTCTTAGGTGACCCCTGTGAAAGGGTCGTTCGACCCCCAAAGTGGTCACAACCCACAGGTTGAGATCCACTGCCCTAGACTATATAAGCCTCTGTTGGAAATATATTCTTTCTCTGCGCCGACCTGGCTCCTGAAGTCATGCATGCTTTATCTTGTCTGATGTTTCTTTATTTGCCCCTCAATTACACAACTGCCCCTTGGGCCCATTCAATTGTGGGGGCTGGTACCCCACACCTACTGGGTGGTTTTGAACTGAAGACCATGCAGTTCACAGGCCAACACAGGACAACTACACCTCCAGGCCTCTTAGGCAATGGAAAACGTCAGTTAAATAAAAATTCTTAAACCTAGACGAGAGAGATTGAGTAAATGGTTGCAACACTGCAATCAAATTTAACAAGTGAGAGGATGGTGCAAGACTGGGCAGTCTCTTCCTCTGTGTGTCCCTGAGGGGGGTTGTAGACAACTCCGGGGGAAGTAACCTCAACAAGAGAGAGAGTTCCAACTCACCAGGATTTGGGGCTTCTCCATTTCCTCCTGGGGGTATCAGACTGAGAAAACAAACCTGAAAAACAAGATGCAGCAAAGGAGGACACCAGCCACCGTGCCCCCAGAGCAGCTTCTCTAACTTGAGTCAGAAAAATGCAGCCAATTGACTCACATGTGCCCACTGAGTTAGTTTATTGTGCCAACCTGGCCGATAAACACGTGGGGCTAATTGAAGGGCAGAGGGATAAATGGCTCAGTAAACCTCACTTTTCTAGTTCTCGGGTCTCTTGCTCTCTGATGGTCAGACCAGGGTGCAGCTACCTCAGCCAGTTCCCTGCTTCAGCTGGCAAGACTCACTTCCTACAAGACATCCCTGAGGAGAAGCCACGTGGATCTACCTTGATGCAGCCCTGGGTGGTGGAGCAGCCATGTGGAGACCCCTGCCAGTGCTGAGATGCTTACACATTCACTGATCCGGCTTTCCTCCTGCAGTCGGCATCATAGTGTGTGTTTTGTGAGATGGTGGAGGACTTTGTGGATTGGTGTCGGACATATAGGTTAGTGGGTTAATGATGGACTTGGGCAGCACTGGGTTGGGATGTTTTCTTGATGTGCACTTATCCTTTATATAAAACTCTTTCTTATACATATGAGTTTCTGAGGATTTGTTTCTTTAAAGTACCCAGACTAACACACCCACCAATACATTCAACCTGAACCAGGAGCTTTGGCCCCCGCCCCACCATCCCCTTCTGCAGACCCTCAACCACTCTCACCTGTTCCCTTATATCTCTGAGTCCGTTGTTCCATGGTTTCCACGCTTTCTCTGTGCTTTGAGGAGAAAATCTTTGCTCTTCCTGGACAGAATGGAACAGCAATGCAATACTCTACATCCAGTCCAGTGACTGCCTTAAAACCCTGCCTCTTGGATCGAATTTTATATCCAGCAGCATCTCTGTTGCCTGGAGTAGCTACTTCACACCTCACCGATCACACTTCCTCGTTTTCCATCCCTCTAAGACACCAGGAATGGAAATGAAAGTGAGGCTGTTGGATCCTCTGTGTGTGCTCTACACTCAGGCCTCTTCAGCAGCAACCCCGTCCCCTCACACGCTCCTCAGCCGTCATGCAGAGGCTGAGGACAGACAGGGGCTCTGGAGTTTCCACCGTGATTCCTTTCTAATCTAGAAGCCTTCCGATCTGGTTCCCTGACACGGACTTTTTACCTGCCAAACTTGACTGCATCTGTAGGTCCCCACATCTCAGGTTCCCTTTCCAAGTGCCAGATCCCGTTCTGCCACCTGAGCTGCAGAGAACACAGAACACAGCTCAATGCCTTTGGAGAAAGACTCTCTCAAGCGCCCAAGAGAGGAGGCAAGCAGTGAGGAAACAAGCCTCTCTCTCTCTCTTTTTTTAAATCAATTTATTGGGGCTCATACAATTCATCACAAT